TAGTGCATGTCCCCATATTGCTAAACAGACCAAGTCTTTCACAGACAGCAGTGAAAGTGAGGAATTTTTTGCAAAATCTTTCTTTAACTGTCGTACCGAAGGGCTAGTGTACCTTCTGTTATGTTTATGTGGTTTGAAGTACGTAGGCAAAACGTTTTGCCCCTTCAAGCTTCGCATTAGAGAACACGTTAATTCCGTAAGGAGACCATTAGAGACACCAATTTCACAACATCTAAAAACTCACCATTCTAATTCTGATACTAAAATTAGATTCATGGGTATTGAATCAGTCCCCCAACCTCCACGTAAAGGAAATTGGGACCGAAACATACGGCAGAGAGAATCGTATTGGATTTACAAACTAAATACGTTATCCCCAGCAAGGTTAAATGAGGGATTCTCTTTTTCAGCTTTTTTGTAATACTCTCTCTACTAAAGGGACTTAAACAACACTGAGGAACTCTTCCTTTCTAAACTCCCTACCATACTATTTGTAAATTTGTATATATGTAAATATGACACTTTTTATATGAACATGAACGGCCACTTTATTTTCACCTTGTTCATTTTGCCATTCGAGCCAAGATACTGTCTGCCTTATTTTATACATCCTGATTGGGGTTTACTTCCCCTGATTGGATGTTTATAGGCATTATTCAATCCATAAGACAGGTCCCTTTACTGTACATTTAATGTACCCTGACCTGACTGGCATATGTGAGATCTTGTGTGGCAATTTTTTCACTGTACAATCAATGGGACAACCTATGCAATAGATGCCCATACTGGATGGGACTCAGTGCAGCTCTCACAATGTTGTGAGCACTGCCAAGCTTCTATTCCCCGCACACTGTCAGTTCCACTCCATAATACAGTGGATGTTCCAGTCACACTATGAGGTGCGCTTTGGGAATACTTTAAGCCCAACTCACATATTCAGCCATCACGTCCAAATAACGCCCCGCCTGGCTCCACTCTATAGGTCATGACAGGGATTAAAAGGTTAAAAAATAATAACATGCATCACTGGTCCACCCGGACCAGGTGGGCTTCATCCCAGGCAGAGAATCACGGGACAACACCATACGGGCCCTCAACATTATCCACTCGGTTAGAAGGCAGGGTCGGCATCTTACTCTCCTCTCCACGGACGCTGAAAAGGCCTTCGACCGAGTGGACTGGGCCTACCTCGCAGCCACCCTACAACACATGGGACTCGGACCTAATATCCGAACATGGATAGCGGCACTCTACACGACACCCACGGCTCGAATACGAGTCAACGGTGCCCTCTCAGAGCCAATCCCTATACGAAATGGCACACGACAGGGGTGCCCCCTGTCCCCCCTGCTGTTCGCCCTCTCCCTGGAACCGTTCCTGGAGGCGGTCAGGATGGACGGGGGAATCACAGGACATACAATAGGGAACGTAGAACATCGGGTAGCGGCATACGCCGATGACCTGCTGTTCTTCCTGGGACAACCCCTGATCTCCATCCCAAACACACTAGGCCTATTCCAACGATTTGGGAGGATCTCGAACCTGAAACTCAACACCGACAAGTCGGAGGCCATGAACATCGCGGCCCCAGCCGCACTCGGGGCGCAACTACGCTCCCACTACGGGTTCAGATGGTGCGGTACCAAATTGAAATATCTCGGCATTTGGTTGACTAAAGACCTCTCACATCTTTACCAGGCTAATTTTGCCCCAATCCTCACCTCCCTACAGGCCGACATGGCCAAATGGACTGACCTCTACATTTCGTGGTTCGGTCGTATTAACGCAATAAAAATGAACATCCTCCCGCGCATTCTGTATCTCTTCCAGACAATCCCGATCACCGTCCCTCGGGCCTTTTTCCACAATATTTCCACCGCGATTCGACACTTCGTATGGAAAAGAGGAGCTCCGAGAATCAGCAAGCTCCAACTGGAGCTACCCAAATTGCAGGGGGGAGCGGGACTCCCCTCGATCATTGGCTACTACCGAGCAACCCATTTGCTGAGGGTCACTGACTGGCACTCGCATCCAACGGAGAAACTATGGGTGCGGGCAGAACTAGCTCAGGCCGAGGGGAAAATACCCTCGGAACTATGGAGGACGGGAATTACACCGAACGCCCTCAACACCGGCAACCCTCTGATAGCCGCAACCCTAAAAGTATGGTGCGCTCTCCGATTCCCCTACCAGTTGACGACACATAGCAACCCGCTGACACCCCTCACCCATAACCCAGACATTGGAGGAGGACTGTCACCCGCTGACCTAAGAAACTTTGGCCGGTCCGATTGGTCCTATATACGCCAATGGTGCAACAACAGCGCACTGAAAACCATACCCGAACTAATCCCTGATACTACACCAACGATGCTCGACCGGTTCAGATATCACCAGGTCAAATCCTTCTACAACTCCGCGACAGCCAAACAGCAATTCCACCGAGACCCCACATATTTTGAAAAACTATGCATCAGTAGACGACACATCGAGAGAGGGATCTCGACGCTATATGCACTGCTATTGGAGGGTGAGAATAGACCACCACCGAAATTCATCGCCAGATGGGAGAGGGAGACGGGGGAGGTACTTGAGGCCCGTGAATGGGATAAAATATTCCTACTCACACACAAAAGCTCTATTAGCTCAAAATTCCAGGAGATGAGCTATAAACTACTAACCACCTGGTACCGAACCCCTGACATAATGCATCGCATGAACCCGGACAATGACGAAAATTGTTGGAGATGCGGAGCAGAGAGAGGCACCATGATCCACATATGGTGGACCTGCCCAGCCATCGTCCCATTCTGGGAGATGGTAAACACCAAAATACGAGAGATATCAGACCCTGAGCTCCCACTTCAACCCCTACCCATGCTACTACATCACACCAGCATTTCGCTGCAAACATACAAAAAATCCCTCACTAGACACCTTCTGACTGCAGCTAAATCACTGATACCCACCCTGTGGAAAAAAACGACTTCCCCCACCTTCCAACAATGGGTGGATAGAGTGGGAGAAATACATTCCATGGAGTCCATGACAGCAGCCCTCCGGGGCCATTCGGAGAAATGCCACCTAACCTGGACCCCCTGGATCCTATACACCGCAGCAGCAGGCTCAGCCTCATGAAAAACTTTGCTCCGATAAGTTACCGATGCCCTCTCCCGCCTTACTCCTAATCTTGCTTCCTCTTTTCCCCAGCTAGACTACACCCGCCACCCCACCCCATGTAACCCCCTCAGCCTCTTGACTTCTGCTTGACCAGACCACCCCACACCACGTACATGACTGAGACATTTAATCCAAGAGAACATATACAGATGTTCCATACCAAACACGGATCCACAGAGGGACAGCAGATAGAACTCACAAAAGCGATATTAAGGGACAGAAACACACAAGATACCCTAAACGCCCAAAAATCTAATGGCCCATAAGCTAGATCCACCGCACAATAGACCCCATAGCTTTTAACCCCAGAAGCAACCCAACAACACACATGCAATACCACCTGCTAGGCTCGCACACCCGTGGGACATATCTCATACTCATGCTCCCCAACCACAGAAAAGAACATTCCCTACAGGGCTCGTACACCTGGACACAGGTGGGACGGGACAGGACACCCTAGCCACAACATTTGAAAAGCCCTAAACAAACCCACCGGAAAGCCCCGCCACAAGCAAACCCACCCACACATACAGCCTCTACAAACTTGCACTTGGCTGGGCCCCACACCCCTCCCACGAATATCACGCCTTGAGCTGCAAGAGGTCCCAAATGGTTGGAGGTATGAGAATATCAAAGACATAGGACACTCACAGATACAGAACAGGTCGAGTTGCACTTGATAATGGATATACCCACAGCTCTCAACTACTGTGTGATATACAAACACGGAAATGGATATTGTTATGCTATTATGGATATCTATCACTGCATTGGTGCACTACAAATAACTGTTTGACTTCCCACCCTTTTCCCTTCTGTACACCCATCCTTTCAAAATTGTAAAACTGAATACATAAATAAAGATTGTCAAAAAAAAAAAAAAATAATAACATGCATTTATGTGGCACCTTTCTCCTAGTAGGACTCAGGACGTTCTTCAGCTCTCTGAGCTGACCAGGTTGGCAGCTGACTTGTAGTATATGTTAACCCATTGATGGAGTTGTTTTGCTGACCTCAGACGGATGGGTTGGGTTGGCCCTGCTGGGATTCAAACCTGCAGCCTTGCCTTTTTTTAGCAGGCTTTGTGGTCAGTGATTTTGCCAACTAAGCTATGTCATTGGCAGGGTGTGTCTTCACTATGTTTTTGAGATGTAGAATATGTGACGACATGCCACACCCCTGGTAGACTGCAGAATAGAGTTTAGCTACTCCGCCCCTCAGGACCTCCCACATTGAACAGCTGATGGCCATGTTTCATCAGCAATAGGTATTTAAATGGAACAACAAGCTGCTCATGTTCACAGGCGCCTGACGATGGCGTTTTGAACATGCCGAAACGCGCGTCGAGCGTTTTCTTTTTCTTTAATCCCTGCAATTGGTAGCACTTTTTTATTTTTGTTACCACTATGGTTATTGATTTTTAGGTGTTTATTTATTTATAACTTTAGTAGGGAGAGTTGGTTCAGGTAGACACCAGTGGTTAGACCACGGTGTCGAGGTAACTTTTAGAGTGAATTGAGAGATTTATTTATTTATTTATTGTGTGAAGCTTTTCATCTGCGTTTAGACCTGATTACCCGGTCCCTTATTCTCTGGGGACCCTGTGCCTCTTCTCTCTCCCTAACCTCGTTTACACTACCTTCCTGTCAGTCGGACACTAGGGGAACTGGAACTTAGATGCTAGCTAGTACTCTAGACAATTGATCCCATGGGCACCGTTTAGTAGATCTCACTCTTTTTCAAGTTATACTTTTTGTTTGCATATCCCTTTTTATCCTTAGATTGATTAAAGGTAGGGCCTCCCTACCTTATTTCTTATACAGTGGAGCTCTCCTGGTGTTGGTTTCCCCTTGTGGGACTCTACACATCACCTACTCCTATTACCTACATATTTTGGAGGGTTACCCCCTCATTGGAGTATTAGGTGGTTACAGTCAGTGGCGTCGCTAGGGGGGGCCAGAGGAGGCCATGGCCCCCCTACATCAGGCTGTGCCCCCCCTTGGGCCCCCCCAAATGCCAGCAACTTGCTGGCCATGTGTTTAAATTACATTCCCTCGGACTGTAACAGTGTGTGACAGCCCGAGGGAATACAGTGCTGGGTGTTGTCTGTGGCCGGAGGGAGCAACGACAGGATCCCCAGCATAGGCCCCACCCCCAAACAAAGCCCTGCCTCCTGCACATAAGCCCCTCCCCCGACGTTAAGCAGCGGACCTTGCTGCTGCAGGAAAGGCCAGAAGATGGCTGTCTGACCTCCCAGCAACAGCCTCCAGTGACAGTTTGGTGTGTGTGTCTGCTAGTGAGGAAGCTTGTGTGTATGGACTCAGCAGTCTGTCTGTGTGTGTGTATGGACTCAGCAGTCTGTGTGTGTGTGTGTGTGTGTGTGTATGGACTCAGCAGTCTGTGTATGTGTATGGACTCAGCAGTCTGTGTGTGTGTATGGACTCAGTAGTCTGTGTCTGTGTGTGTATGGACTCAGCAGTCTGTGTGTGTGTGTGTGTGTGTGTGTGTGTGTGGACTCAGCAGTCTGTGTCTGTGTGTGTATGGACTCAGCAGTCTGTGTATGTGTATGGACTCAGCAGAGTCTGTGTGTTTGTGTGTGTATGGACTTAGCAGTCTGTGTGTGTGTATGGACTCAGCAGAGTGTGTGTGTATGGACCAGCTGTGTGTGTGTATGGATTCAGCAGTCTTTGTGTGTGTGTGTGTGTGTGTGGACTCAGCGGTCTGTGTGTGTGGACTCAGCAGACTGTGTGTGTGTGTGTATGGACTCAGCAGTCTGTATGTGTGTGTCTCTGTGTGTGTGTGTGTGTGTGTATGGACTCAGCAGTCTGTGTGTGTGTGTGTGTATGACCTCAGCAGTCTGTGTCTGTGTGTATGGACTCAGCAGTCTCTGTGTGTGTGTGTATAGACTTAGCAGTCTGTGTCTGTGTGTATGGACTCAGCAGTCTCTGTGTGTGTGTGTGTGTGTGTGTGTGTGTGTGTGTGTGTATGGACTCAGAAGTCTTTGTGTGTGTGTGTGTGTGGACTCAGCAGTCTGTGTGTGTGGACTCAGCAGTCTGTCTGTGTCTATGTGTGTGTATGGACTCAGAAGTCTGTGTGTGTGTGTGTGTGTGTGGACTCAGCAGTCTGTGTGTGTGTGGACTCAGCAGCCTGTGTGTGGACTCAGCAGTCTATGTGTGTGTGTATGGACTCAGCAGCTGGGCCGCCATCAGGGCATGACAACCATAACGGTTGTCATGGGCCCGGCGGTCCTGGGGGGCCCGAACTACTCTGGCAGTCCGAGCCCCACATTCCTTATGTGCACATATATATATATATATATATATATATATATATATATGTTTATATGTCAACCATGAGTTAAAGTCAAATCTTAGGCATGTGAAGTGTGACGAGGAAAAGGTGGAGGCTTTATGGGTAGATATCTGCTTGGGGCAAACAAAGGGAAATCAATTATTGGTTGGGATATGTTATAAACCACCTAATGTAAATATTATTGAGGAAGAACAGCTGTTAGAGCAAATTGAGAAAGCTGCAAATCAAGGTAACACGTTAATTATTGGAGATTTTAATTATCCAGACATAAATTGGGAAAGAGGGACTAACTTCAGCAAGGGGCATCAGGTTTTTGAATGTGTTAAATTACACCTTTATGTCACAACTGGTACAAGCACCAACTAGAAAGGATGCTTGTCTGGATCTTGTCATAACAAACAATGTTGATCTTTTAACCAACATTCAAGTAAGGGAGCATTTGGGAAATAGTGATCACAATATGGTAAATTTTGAAATAAACTCAAAAAAGCAAAAGCAAGTGGGGTATACTAAAACATATAATTAAAAAAAAGCCAATTTCAATAAGGTTAGGGCAGCTCTACAACATATCGACTGGCATAAACTCCTTTATGATAAAACGACTTAGAATAAATGGAAACTATTCAAACAAATATTAGAAAGGTAAATTTCTCAGTATGTACCATTGGGTAATAAATATAAAAGAAACAAATTAAAACCAATGTGGCTTAGTAGAGAAGTAAAAAAAGAGATTAAAACTAAGAAAAGGGCATTTAAAGCATTTAAATCAGACAAATCAAAGGCATCCTATTTAAGATATAAGGAAGCCAATAACGCTTGCAAAAAGGCAATTAAAGTGGCTAAACTAGAAAATGAGAAATTGATAGCTAAAGAAGGCAAAACCAACCCCAATTTTTTTTTCAAGTACATCAATTCTAAAAAAACAAAAAATGAAAGTGTAGGTACACTTGAAACAGAGTTGGGTTTCTTAGCTAATGATGACCAGGAAAAAGCAGACATTTTAAATAACTATTTTTCTTCAGTATATATTAATGAGGATCTTATGGCAAGAGATATGCAAATGATTGCTGCAAAAAACTTGCAAATAACTTGTGATTGGATAACTCGAGACAAGGTGCTACAGCTATTAAAGAAAATTAATGTAAATAAAGCTCCGGGGCCTGACGGTATTCACCCACGAGTACTTAAGGAGCTAAGTGGGGAAATAAGTGAACCTCTGTATTTAATTTTTCAAGATTCTTTTGTTTCAGGTGTTGTACCGGAGGATTGGAGGAAGGCAGATGTTGTTCCTATATTTAAAAAGGGTTCAAAATCCTTGCCTGGAAATTATAGACCTGTGAGCTTCACTTCTGTAACTGGGAAAATATTTGAAGGGCTATTAAGGGATAATATTCAGGAATTCATTGGGAAGAACTTTGTTATTAGCAATAATCAGCATGGTTTCATGAAACATCGGTCATGTCAAACTAACTTAATTACATTCTACAAAGAAGTAAGTAGAAGTATAGTTCAGGGTGTTGTAGTGGATGTGATCTACTTGGATTTTGCCAAGGCATTTGATACGGTTCCTCACAATAGGTTAGTCTTCAAACTAAAAGAAATTGGTCTAGATGAATATTCTTGTTCTTGGGTAGAACATTGGCTTAAGTATAGAGTACAACGAGTTGTAATTAATGGTAAATTTTCAGGCTGGACAAAAGTGGTAAGTGGTGTCCCTCAGGGTTCTGTTTTGGGACCACTTCTATTTAACATATTTATAAATGATCTTGAATTAGGCATTGAAAGCCATGTATCAGTGTTTGCAGATGACACAAAACTTTGTAAAGTAATAAAATGTGAGCAGGATATTGCCTTGCTGCAGAGAGATTTGGATAGATTGGGGGACTGGGCACTAAAATGGCAGATGAAATTTAACATAGAGAAATGCAAAGTTATGCACTTCGGGGTTAAGAATGCACAAGCAACTTACACACTAAATGGTAGTGAATTAGGGATAACCACACACGAGAAGGATTTGGGAATTGTTATAGACAACAAATTAGGCAGCAATATGCAATGTCAATCTGCAGTTGCTAAGGCCAGTAAGATTTTGTCATGTATAAATAGGGGCATAAATTCTCGGGATGAAAATATAATTCTGCCTCTTTATAAATCGCTGGTAAGACCACACCTTGAATATGCTGTGCAATTTTGGGCGCCTGTTCTAAAGAAGGATATCATGGCACTGGAGAGGGTCCAGAGACGAGCTACAAAATTGATAAAAGGAATGGAGCATTTTAGTTATGAAGAAAGGTTAAAAAAATTAAATCTGTTTAGTTTGGAAAAACGGCGCCTGAGAGGGGATATGATAACTTTATACAAATATATTCGGGGCCAGTACAAACCTTTATCTGGAAATCTATTCATAAACAGGGCTATACATAGGACACGAGGTCACACATTTAGGCTGGAAGAAAGGAGATTTCATCTAAGGCAAAGAAAAGGTTTTTTTACAGTAAGAACAATAAGGATATGGAATTATCTGCCTGAAGAGGTGGTTTTGTCAGAGTCCATACCACTGGCGTACATACCAGGGTCGCAGGGGTCGCGACTGCGACCGGGCCCGGCCCACCAGGGGGCCCGGCCGCCCCTGCGACCCGGTATGTAGCCACAGGGCCAGCCTCTTCCCTGGGGGCCCAGAGCCGACCACCCCAGGGCCCCCTGAGGCTGGCCCTGCTGACCCCGGTGGCGGTGGGGCGGGCAGGCGGGCGCGCGAGGGAGCACTCAGTGCTTCCTCTTCAGCTCCCTCGCGCACCGCACTGATACGAGCCGGAAGATGGCGTCATCTTCCGGCGCCGGCATCCCTACGCGGTGCGCGAGGGAGCTGAAGAGGAAGCAGTGAGTGCTCCCTGCGCGCCCGCCTACCTGCCCCGCCCAGGAGCCCCACTGGACCCCAGGGAATAATCCCCCCCAGCACTCCAAGAGGTAAGGAGGCTGGGGGGATTATATTAAAAAAAATAAAAATCATGTGTGAGTGTTAGTGTGTGTGTGTGTGAGTGTTAGAGTGAGTGTTAGTGTGTGTGTGTGAGTGTTAGTGTGTGTGTTAGTGTGAGTGTTAGTGTGTGTGAGTGTTAGTGTAGTGTTAGAGTGAGTGTTAGTGTGTGTCTGCTAGTAGTGTTAGTGTGTGTGTCTGCTAGTAGTGTCAGTGAGTGTGTTACTGTGTGTGTCTTACTGAGTGTGTGTGTGTGTTAGTGAGTCTGTTTGATGTCTGTTAGTGAGTGTGTGTTTGTCAATGAGAGTGTATGTTTTGTAAGTGAGTGTGTATGTATGCCTGTCGCTGACTGTATCTCTGTCAGTAAATGTGTGTGTCTGTTAGCTAGTGTATTCGTCTGTAAGTGAGAGTGTGTGTGTCTTCAGCACTTACCTTTCTCCAGCGCCGGACTCCCTTGGCGCTGGGGATCCCTCAGCCTCTCAGCTCTGAATGCGACCGCGCACGCATTCAAACCGCCCATAGGAAAGCATTACTCAATGCTTTCCTATGGACGTTCAGTGTGTTCCTCTAGCGGCTGTCCGTGAGACAGCCACTAGAGGCAGGATTAACCCTCAGTGAAACATAGCAGTTTCTCTGAAACTGCTATGTTTTCAGCTGCAGGGTTAAAACTAGAGGGACCTGACACCCAGACAACTTCATTGAGCTGATGTGATCTGGGTGTCTGTAGTGGTCCTTTAAAGGACCACTATAGTGCCAGGAAAACATACTAGTTTTCCTGGCACTATAGTG